GCTAGGCGGGTCTCAGGACATCCGAACATCAATGCTGAGCCAGGACAGAGTGCAAGACCCGGAAATATATAGCCCAAGGGAAAGAGAGGGACAGGAAGGACAGAAGACCGGAAACTAGGGACAGGACAGAGAAGGAGCGCCCTCTGGCTGCAGAGGGCGTGACATCAGTAAGAAGCAATGACAGGGATTGGCAAACCCCTGCTGTTTCAGAATGAGCAGCTGTACTATGAGGAGCATAAAGATGCATAGCTGACGTCCACATCTCCTGAGGTTTGGCCATGAGCATCACGGAGGGCCTGATGCAGACTGTCACGTAAAAAGCTTACAATAAAATAGGACAAATACACAATGTTTGGATATACAGAGAGTTGTAAAATATTTAGGTGACATAAAAAGATGTTAGTTATTCCTGTTTTACTGAATGTTTTTAGTGATTTTCGATGTCCAATGTCCAAGTGGTTTTGCAGGTGAGAGGAAGCTTATTATTCTTACAGAGCAGTGTTTTGGTTTTAAAAACTATCGATCTTGTGACACAAGGTGAAACAATGTTGTAGAATAACATGTCTTGTACCGTTCCCACTGGTGTGTTGGGCTCTGATTTCATTGGCTTCTTGGTGTAGATCTGTTGCACTGAAACACAAGAGCAGCAGAGATATCGCACTGGTTATGAGAATGCAGTATTAAAGTTATTCTGAGCAAATGCTTAAGACTGAAACTGGTAATTATTAGAGGTGATTAAAGAAGGATTACTTCATACAGCAAGCATAAACACCTATTCCTAAAACAGACACACAAATACAGACAAGCACAGCTGCAGCAGGAGGCTGTGTAGAACAGTGGTTAGACTAATGTCTGGTAGGTCGTGGGTTCGAGTGTTTGCTGTAGCTGCTGCTTCTGTACCATTGAGAAAAGCACCTTTCCAAGACTTCTCTAGTCCAACCAGTGCAACCCTGTGATGGACTATTGTCCCATTAGTCACATGCTCTTGGTCTGCTCAACTATGCAGAGGCTGGGATGAGATCCAGAATGATGCCCAATCAATGCTTTATTGTTTTAAGTGGCAGACACAACTGGACTACTGCAGTTCAGCTTTGAGGAGCCCCACCCAATGGCTCAACAAGGAAAGGGGCTTGCCTAAACACAGGCTGAGCACTGCGATCACAAGTTCGAGTCACGTCACTAGCTGACTGTGACCAGGATTTCCCATGTACAACTGCACAACTGCAGTGCACAACTGACAGAACACTGTCCAGGCTATGATGGGATTAGTCAGCCAGCAATCCCTGTGGCCTCCTGGGCAATGGCAGGCAGGCGGTTCTATGGCGGTTCTATGGCGCTGAACCCCTGCTATGGGGCTGTGCTGTCTGTGATGTGTTAAAATGGGAGTGACCTGAAGTTCAGAGGGGCAGAGGAGCTCATTCTCTCCCCGTGTGCGATTTGTGCGGTTCGCCGCGGAAAGTCGAGTTGCGAAAAGCACAGGGGAGTACGATTCAAAACCAGATGGGCAGAACAAAAACACAAAAACCGTTTACCCAGTTCAGGGTCGCAGTAGCCCAAGAAGCACTGGGCGCAAGGTGGGGTGCACCCTGGACAGGACGCCAGTCCATCGCAGGGCACATGCAGACAACAGACACACACTCACACCACCCAATTCATCTACCAGTATGTCTTTGGGAGGAGTCCGACACGACGATGGGAAGAACCCATAAAACCCACACGGATAGCAGCCAGCGCTGTGAGACACTAGTGCTAACTATTGCGCCACAGGGCCGCCTCAAGATGTAAAGAAAAGTAGAAGACACTTCAATGTTTAGGGACTGAAGCTGTGCCCCACTGGCACAGACTGACGGTGATCTACACACAGTTACGCACACTCACAGCTGATGTCGGAGTTTGTGCGCTCCGCCTGGTTGTGTCTGTTGGTGGAACGGATCCTCCTCAGGATTCCAGGGAGCACCTGTGGAAGAGAAGGACAGGAAGAGAATCAGAGACAGGGAACGGAGTGGGGACAGACAGACAGAGGGGGAGTGCATGAGAGGGTGATTGGGGTTCACAGAGGAATGATCAGTACAGTAAAAAAGAATTGCGGACAGAGTGGAAAGGTCTAATAAGATAAGATAAGAGATCAGATCACTTTATTGGCCCTATACAATCTCTTGCAATAGGAATTTGTCTTTTCACAGACTCCAGCTTGCTCTCCATGAGACACACAGACAGGGAGGGAAGCTGGGGGTCAGAGCACAGGGTCAGCTATTGTACAGCGCCCCTGGAGCAGTTGGGCTTAAGGGCCTTGCTCAGGGGCCCAATGGAGTAGGATTCCTCTGCCAGCCACGGGATTTGAACCGGCAACCTTCCAGCCACGGGCGCAGATCCTCAGCCACAGCAAAGTTATTTGCACTAAGCCTCTAATAGAATAGCTGTATCTCTCATTTGTCTCCAATTCCTCGTATGTCAGGTAGAATGAAGAACAGAGACTGAAGCAGTATTGTTTTAGGATTTCCCACTTCTGCTCTTAGAGGGTCATCATATTTTCTCTCCCTGGTGAAAACAATCTCTCATTTAGGTTTGATGCTCTTTCCCTCCTTCTCACTGGACTCCTCTCCCATTTCTTAACTCTATTGCTCTGTCTGAAATCCCCGCTTTCTCTTTTCCTCCACATCAATCCCCCTGTCTCCCTCTGTACCTCCATCTCCTCCTCCTCGAGCTGGACGCAGTCTTTCAGCTTCTCCGGGTGCCTCATCTGCTCCAGCAGCTCCAGCGTGAGGGTTCGATTCAGGCTGGACTGAGTGACAAACACGTGCTGTGAGAGGAACAGGGGAGAGGGAAAGAGAGAGGGAGTGTGGGGTTGAGAGAAACAACAGAGGGAGTGAGGAAGCAGGGAGCAAATATTAGGATCTTGAATGATACCGGTTTGTGGGGGTGAGAGAAGAGGAAAGGTTTATTTTGTAACAAATCATTATTACTCACACCGAAGTAAGATCTTACAGCTGTGTAAATGCCAGTTCACGTTTACTTAAAATAATACATTTTTAAATACATTTCAAACACACTCTGTGACATGGTAACAAAACGCCTGGGTCATACCAGCTTGAATGAACCTAATCAGACATTGAGAATGAAAAACTCACAGTGAGCATCTTGGAGGCATTGGGTCTCTTCTTAGGATTCCTGATCAGCATCATCTTTATGAAGTTGTGAAACACAGAAGACCTGGGAGACAGAGAGGCCCGTTAGTTCAGTTCCCTGCCTTTGCTGCCTTCAATACAGCACCACTCATAAACACTGAAATGGACAGAGGCTGTGTACCCCAGCTACTCGTATATTGCCTTTTGATCCTTCAATGTGGGCTCTTCCCATCTCGGTGAAGCAGAATTCCCCAGCTGAGGTTGTGAAGTTGGATTGCTGACCCAGTAACAGGAAAGTGAGCTGGGTTTAGACGGGTTAGTTTTGGCCTGCAGGTGATGTGCTGCTGCAGCAGGGATCCCACTCAGTATGCAGGCTCAGACATTTGGTATATGTGCTTGGCTGAGGCAGTGCTACCATCAGCAGAGTTAAGTCAGAATTAAAGCTCGTTCTTGGGCCACTCACCATTTGGCTTTGTCCTTTAGCTTGGGAGGCTGGTATCCACTTTTGGACATGAGGAAAAGCACCCTATGGAGAACAGATGATACGACTTGCACATTACAATTCCACTGTGAAACTCCAAACCTGTGTGGATGTGAGAGAATAAACACTTTCCCACACCCTCACGGCGTCTTGCTAGACCGAGACCTGGACCGATACAGCTGCCTTTAAATAAAGCTAGGAGTGACGGTTGCTCTGACCTGAAAAGGCTTTGACCGTGACGTTGACTTTGCAAAGTTTGATCATGCAATAATCATGATGATTTGCAGACACCTAGATGTTTGCTGTAGAGCAGCAAGGAGACTAACTCTGATTACATAACCTCAGCTATATCTGACGTTCAGCGCACAAAGAGATGCAGTAACAGAGAGTGACACACAGGGATAGAAGCAGGGTCCTTAATCATGGGGCTGCAGCTCAGTTCTTCACTTCTTTCTGGCCTCACATGGCCGAGGAGGATTCTCTGCTCTAAGCGCTCGTATGGCTCGGGTGCTGCCCTACCTGAGTGGGTGCACATCAAACATGGGTGGCTGCAGCTCCGCCAGCTCAATGGCGGTGATGCCCACAGACCAGATGTCGCACAGCTCGTTGTAGCCGCCCTTGATCTCCACCGCTGCCACCTCTGGCGCCATCCTGTGGAGAGTAAGTCTGGTTACTGCGTCAGTTTCGACACGCCCATGGATCGCAATTGAGCCCACCCAGTATTTTCAAAGAGCAGAACAAAACCATTGGGAAAGAGGTAGGGTGAAGTTTTGAAGCAGGCTGGGCCTGTGTCTACTGTTTTTTTTTTTGGTTAATAATGCATCACAGGAGGACACTGATGTAGAAAAAGAATCTGTCGAGAAGAGATGTTTAAATCTCCGCTCGTGATAGAGATGCCAAAAAATGGAAACAGCAGTTGCTGTAGATTCGTTTCTTTCCGAAAGGACCCCAGAGAGGACCTATAGGTTGTGGTAGAAGTGTCCTAATTATGTAGTAATCTCCATTTGCTTTATAATTGGAACATTTCCATGGAAGCATTTAGGCTGTTCTTGAAGGGGTTACAGTGGTCAGAGAGGCCCCCTCCATTAGGACAGCCTGAATGCGCTGTGCCTCACCAGTATGGCGTTCCTATGAAAGACATGCGCCGCGCAAACGTGGCTGTGATCTGCGCAGAAATCCCAAAATCAGCTGGGGGAAAAAAACGATGCAGAATTAGGGTCATTGAAAGGAAACATTTGTATCTCAGACGTTTGTCTTTTGATTTTCCCAAATGCATGCGCCTATTTTCAGAGAAACAGGATGGGCAGGATGAAAAGGTAGCTTTGTTTCTTTGGGAAAAATGAGACAGTCATTCTTTTACAAATTTACCTCTAGGGGGAGACATGTTTGCACTACAGCACTCAAGGGTTTTGTAAATTCAAAGTTTGTAAGAATAGCACAATTTAAATTATAAATAATTAGTACACTCTTTAGATCTTTGTCATGAACAGGAAATATATAAATCTAGATGCGCATCGCTGTTCTGCATTGCATACTTTTAGCACTATGTAGTGACATAGTGTTGTGCTGTGTTACATTGTGTACAAAGTCTTCTATTTGTTTTGCATTACACTTGTAAATCCAGTGTAATCTACAGCTGGATTTTGCTTCTGGTCTCTGCAGCTGTTAAGATGGATATTGCCATGTTTCTTGTGGTGTGGAAGACAGTAGTGGCAGGGGCCAGTTTGTGAATCTCCACCAGAGAAATTTCCAATGTTACCAGAGAGGTGTGGCATCAGTATCAGTATCTGAGCACCAGAGACACTGGTGGTACTTTTGGCTTACAGATCTCTGCCATTCCATGTTGGGCACCAAGGGCAGGTAATGGGGATAACATTAAAATAACACAACATCCAGCAAAGACAGAGGAGACAAACCCCTCTTCATCTGGGATAGCTCAACCTTATCATGCTGAGCCCGACAGATCCTGAGACAGAAAGTTCACATCTATGCCACTGGTGCATTAATGCAGGAGGAGAAAAACCTGGGACAACTCCTTCATCATTTAGGAAGCTTTTTTTCAATGCCACGGTACCTGTACTGTGACAGCAGACTACTGTAGATAATGCCAACTCTAATACTACAAGGGACCCAACAACAAGGCAAGTAATGCAGAACAAGTTGTGGATGCTTACCCAGCTTGACCTCTCCCTGGTCATTGAGAAGTATATTCGCCCCCTGTAGAAGGAAATGATGATGGTGCCATGAGTGCCAGAGATTATCAACATGCACAATGTGACTGCAGGAAATCTACAGGTTGTGCTAAAGTGATACTGCAAAACAACATAGAAACAACTGTAGTCAATTTGTACCTTAGCTTTGTCATGCTTGCCCTGCTGCAGCTCTGTGGGGGCGGGTTATCTATGTCGTAGAAGCTGATAAAGTCACCATCTACCTGTCTCCCTTGGCCAGCTGCCACAGCCTGCTGGAGACTTGGACCACCTGGAGTCGGTTTACGACCACAGCTGCTCCAGGTGCCCTTCAGAATAAATACTCAGACCTGAGAGAGCATGCGGCTCTGTCGTTGAGTTTGAGCACCGAGCCCCTTGAGCTTCGTTTCTGCGTTGGTTCCCGTGTTTAGCTACTGCGTGGTTGTTCTATGACCCCTGCCTTCTCTCCTGGCTGAGCCTTGTCTCCCGGCTTCAACCTCGACCTTTGAGCTTTGACCACGACCTATCTCCCAGACAGCCCCTTCTGCGCTCCCCGGTTATGGCCCTTGCTTGTTTTGGATTTCGACCCTGGACTGTGTTTGTCCGCAGCTCGCTGTGGTTCACCAGCTAGCCAGAGCACCACGTCTGCCTGCACGCGCGGCGACTCGGTCTGGCAGTCCGCAGGCACCCTGCTCCTCGTCCTCAGAGTGTGTGTTGCCTGCTCCCTCCGGTCTCAGTATCACATAACTCGGGGCTATCCCCTGCGTGCTGGTTGCAGGCTCCCCATCTCAGCAGCCTTTGCATTCAGCACGTGGGCTCTCCAGCCCGCCTTGATCGTACTGCAGGTCCCAGCTTGGCAGCGTGACATTCCAAGCTCTTAGCCAACTGCTCGTGCCTCCGCACTTGTGAGCATCCACGCTCACTAGATCTCTGTGGTGATAATCGGGGATGTCATTCTAAGAGGAGCAGTGGAAAGTCATTTTCAACAGAAACAACAGTTAATAATTTGGGTGTTGTGCAGAGCAGTAATCACTGAAATGATCAATTGAATTGATTACAACCATACATAATTGCAGCATGCTGTGGTAGGTAAGAAACTACAGTGAAACTGAGTATAAAGAGCACTGGAACCAAGTCACGTAATAAAAAGAAGGAAAAATATCATGAATGGTGCTATATCGAATGTTTCTACAGAACATTTTTTGCCAATGTACAATTTCAAGTTAAGATAAATTCAGATGTTGATGAAGTAGTTGAGTTATTCTAATGTCGACGGTCTCAGATGAGTTTATCTTGAGTGCTTGTCACTAAGTCGCTGTCAGAGGAGAGAAGGGCAGGGGACTCAGCTCTCCACTGTCATGGAGAACTGTAGCATGTAGTTCACAACATTTCAACCACAGCTCGTCTATCACTGAACTCAAATGTCAGCAGCGCTTTTTTTTACCTACTCTGTCCCATGACACAATCTATGCAACCATTAACCTTTTAACAGCACTCACGATGATAAATGTGCTCTTCATTTTTTTATTGCAAGACAGACTGCAAAAACGGATTTCCTTCTTTTCTATCTAGATGCTCCCTTTCCTTTTCTGGCTCCATCATGCTGACAGGATCCCTGTGAGTTGTACATCCTTCGCCTTTACCTTGGGATCAAGGGATGCAGAACTCTTTGTGGTTCCCTGAATCCAGGCCAAAACAGGATGCGCAGGGACCTTCAGTTGCTATGCACCCACTGTAGGCTCTGGAGCTCCACCCTGATCTGAATTAGAACTGCTGGTGTGAGTAGCTCTTCTGCACCCAATGTTAAAGAGCTTATAGTTCATTCTTGAGCTGGATGAGCTGGTGAACCCATGACTTGTGTTGTTGTGTTGTTCTAGTGTAATGTATCCTGGGATGCTTTACACAAAGAGGGAACGAGACTGTGTTAAGATGCCATTAAAAGTGCCTCCAAATGACAATGACGTTCACATGGTGCATTACTCAGTTCTCCATTGCCTAAATGAAGGTATTCTGGATTTGCAGCTCATAGGAAACCTGTAACTGTTTGTGCCGGTCTTTAGAAATGAAACCCATTTCACAGAAAAGTGACTTGAAACACCCGTTTTTCTCTGTTTTTCTGCAGTTATTTCGTGAGATCAAGGGTTTATTTCTTTTTTATGTCGCCTCCCGAGATGCAGCGACGATTCATTCGAGTTTCGTGCAGGAATTCAGAAAGCGGTGCACCTTCAAGGCAAGTTGAGCCTAACGCGGCCGATTTCAGGAGCTGCCGGTGTGCTGTGAATGGCTCCTGCGAGCGGCAGGAAGACGAGCGTGTGCTCTGATCATATCTGGGCAAGGCTTATCAGCACCTGATCTCCACCTGCAGCCTGCAGGCCTTCTGCTGGGTGCTGCCTGCAGCTGGGTGCTGCCTGGATGGCGTGAGGGTGCACAAGTGTAGACTTGCCTACAGGACGGTGCGCCTCTCAGTGTGGAAACTCATGCACGCTGCTGCACGTTTTTCGCTGTGAGTGGGTGTATCTGTGCATGTACCATTATATGTGTAACACAGTGAATGTGTGTCATTCAGTGTGTGTGTGTGCATTCCCATTTTTTTACAAATTGCACAGGTTCTGAAAATCTCAGTGATAGCGAGAGTGTATTACTAGCTGACCTGGGTCCTTTTTTAAAACCACTTCATTTGTTCTTTGTCTGATATGTGCATTTTTAAAGCTACCATTGTTCTGCCCTTCTGTGTAGTTTGCAGACGTGTTGCATTCCCTCCCAGCACTCGTCTGTGAATTTCAGCTTTGCAGTGATAAAAATCAAGACTGAGCTGACTTCTGGGGGAAATCGTCAGCCACACTGACACAATGCGTAGAAATTCTTTGAAGGAGCAAAGGGCGCTTAGTAAACCGAGAGCTCACCCGATGAGGTACAGACGGTACTGGATCTGACAGTGCTGGGACATTTTTAACTTTTATGTTTCGGTTTTAGCGAATGTTACTGTACAAACAGGCGCATCTTTTCTGTGGCTGACAAGTAAAAATGCATTTTACTGTGGTTTTACTTCACCAAGATAACTTAGACGTTTGCACAAATCCAATTTGTAGATTGAGAAGTTTGTACTTAATACTATGTCACTACCGTCTCATAGTAAACCCTTCACTTTTCTCTTGAATGAGCTGTACATGCAGTTTATAGATAACATGTGTGGGGCAGGTGGCCTTAGTTCCTCCATCTCTGGTCTTTGTTCAGTTTGAATTGAAGAATCCTTGATAAATGAATTGAAACAATTAAGGGTCAATTAGTGAATCAAAGTCCTGTAATAGCTTGGAACTGGAAGAGCCATGGTTGGCTACCTCTGATCTACTTGTGATCTATCCCCTCCATTGCAACCAGAATGGTCCTTCTCTGTTACAGTGCAGAAGTTAATTTCAGCCCCCCGCCCTGGGAGGGCCATATTCATTTAAGGCCATGTGCTCACATGTGATCATCAACCTTAACACCCTTTAGAGTTCTCTCACCTTGATATCTCTGTGAATCTTCTTCTGGCTGTGCAGGTACTCCAGTCCCTGTGACAAACACAAACATGCGCTTATAGTGGCAGCATACGTCACCCTAGTTGTTCCAGTCTTCCCCATTGTAGAAATGGATACCGAGATTGCTAAAATAAATCCGAGTTCCATCTAGAGAAGAGTCACCAATGCACACAATCTACTATCTGTGTGCTGATTGAGCCGGATGAGCCATCAGGGTCACGCACTGCCGGTTATTAAAAACAGACAGTTAAGAGTGCACTTCAGCTTACAGACAGATGTGGAACACCACTACAATAATAATAATAACAACATCACTTTATTAACCCTTTACAATTTCTTGCATTAGGAATTGCCTTTTCGCATACCTCAGCCTACTCCAGCCTGCTCTCCATGAGACACACAGACAGGGAGAGAGCCTGGGGTCAGAGCACAGGGTCTGCCATTGTACAGCACCCCTGGAGCAGTTGGGGTGAAGGGTCTTGCTTAGGAGCCCAACAGAGTAGGATTCCTCTGCCAGCTGCAGGATTTGAACTGGCAACCTTCTAGCCATAGGTGCAGAGCCTTAACCACAGAGCCACTGCTCCACCCCAGTATCAGTGCTTCCTCATCAGTGATTCCTCAATAACTGATGCCACCTGTTTTTTTCGACCTGCTGCAGGCATCCCAAACATCTCTTTGTGTAAAGACGTGTTTCCTGTTCTCTGTCACAGCTGAATAAGCTTCCGTTAGTGATTCCCAGCTCTGTTTCACTACTGACTCTGGAGTAGTCTCCTAGGTTGACCCAAATCTTTACCCCCTTGGGGTGTGTAAAACCAATGTAGTGTTGGTGCCTTCTTTGTTTTTGGTGCTGAGTACGTTATCTCTGTGACTGCTCGTTTTAATATGGCAGGGGGCTGTGCACAGGTTCAGATAGCAGAGATCAGGATTCGTGAAAACTGGAGGATGTGCCTGCTATCTGGGCGGAGCGGTGGCACTGTGGCTAGGGATCTGCGCCTGTGGCTGGAAGGTTGCTGGTTCGTATCCTGTGGCTGGCAGAGGAAACCTACTCCACTGGGCCCCTGAGCGAGGCCCTTGACCCCAACTACTCCAGGGGTGCTGTACAATGGCTGACCCTGTGCTCTGACCCCAAGCTTCTGTGTGTCTCATGGAGAGCAAGCTGGGGTCTGAGAAAAGACAAATTCCTAATACAAGAAATTGTATAGGGTTCATAAAGTGATCTAATCTTATCAATGCATTGATACATGCATCTGTGATGTGCTGTTGTCTCAGCCTGTGTCTCAGGTTGGCAGCGAGTGTTACTGATCTTACCTTCAGCATCTCCCTGCACACGTATGCAATCTGCTGCTCTGACAGGGGCCCTGTCACTGAAGGAGAGAAGGAGAGAGTCCTTTAAAAAACACCCCCTCCATGCGCAAAGGCACAACATCAGAGGTCACTCATTCATCATGCTCCACGTAAAACAGTGGCTTATCTCTCAATCAGAAAAGGAATGTGATTTCATCTTTTGTATGTTAAGCATACAGCTTGATCCAAGGTCTCACCATGGACTGGATGAGTAAAAAGCAGCCAGTGTCACTAAGGAGACTAGCCTACACAACTACACAGATTGTACAGGGTATCGAATTCGTACTGTTAGGAGATTTTATTAGTTCATTTTAAAAATGTAAAAACAACAGTTCTGAGATAATCCAGTTCTCCCTCCGCATTGTGAAGCTGAAAAAGAAAACACAGTCACGATCAGAAAACACGTCAGGGGGAACTGTGATGTCAGACACAGTGGAGGTTGAACTGTTCGGCACTGTCCCACTCCAGAAGCCTAAAGCAGCACATTGGTAATTTTGTTCCTCTTTTCTGACACATTTTCCATTGCAGTACTATTGTATAGGACATTGTCAGGATTTACCATGGAAATCCTTTTCCTGCTTTGGAACAGATTACAGAATTGGAATTAATGATAGAATATTTTTACAACTTTTCCATTTGGAATCACTTTAATCAGCTCAGCTCTCACTCACACAGGAAGAACGCACTCATCTGACACGTGTACTTTTCTGAGCCATTCAGCGTTTACCACGCCACATGGTCCCCCAGGCCTTCACAGGAGAACATGTGCTGGTTGGAAGAGTGGTGCATCTTTTACTGCAAGCTCACCGGCGCCACCTAGGGCCTGGCAGTCACTGCTGCTCCCCAGGGAAATCCCTGACAAAGCTGCTGCTTGGACAGTCCTGGTCACTGCTGGCTAAGGGCATGGACTGCGCTCCGGGCTCAACCTGGTGACGCCCACTACAACCCGCAGGGCACACCTTGCACTGTAAAACCGGGCCACCCCGCCCTCACTCCCCTCCGCTTACCGTGGTACACATCCTGCAAGGATCCCCCTCCGCAGTACTCCATGCAGATCCACAGCTTGTTCGCGCTGCAGGACACACACACACAAGGCTGTTAAAAGCGGCGACCACCATGCTCACAGAGTGACTCTGGCGGTTCCTCAGACTCCTGTAAAATTCCTGTGCTTTTCTGTTTTTCCCGTTTCACATCTAGTTTTCTTTTTTTCAGCGCGGATTTTATTGAAATCAACCCACCCCCTACCACCAGCAGCAACAGAACAGAACCGCCCAGTTTCCCCCCAACATCTGTGCACATCTCTGGTATCAATGCCAGCGTTCTGCATGGGCGTCTGTGTCAGGCCCTGCCTCACGCAGGCCAAGCTACAGCAGATCCTGCTCCTTGTTGTGCTAGGTATTGTTTCATGTACAGTATATACTGTATGACTATAACTCAGTGTCAGAGCTGCTCATCTTAATATGGAAGGCTCTGTGTGCATCTTCACACCTGAATAGTTCCCATCCTCTCCCTGGTGGTGGGACACCAGTGTGTGATGAGCTGTTCATCCATGTGTGTGCCCTTGTGACAGTGTGCTCTTTGAGTGTGCACAGCGAAGGTGTTTCTGTGTCAGTCAGTGGGTATTACTGCCAATATAAAGACGCAAAGTTAGAAAAGCTCCCCACAAAGATTGAAGCTACTGACAAACAAAATACGGGGATGTCCCTGTTGATGACAGTGACCTTTCTATTAGCTGAAAGGCATCTGATTTTAAAGCTACAAATGCTAAAAACATTTGCTGTTGCTCTATGTGGACTGTCTTTTGAACAGAGTTTGGAGTACCTAATAAATATAGGAGTCACGAGGGGAGCTTCGCCACAAATAAGGGATGAAACAGCAAAAAGGGAAACTTTACTCAGCTGGTAGGGATGTCTTCTGTAATTCTCTGGAACTTCAAAACACATCAGCATTTTGATTTTGTTTTTTGCCAACTGATAATTTTTGGAGAACAGGGGAAAGCACTAAAAGATTTAGTTTGGTCTATTTCTTCCTCCTCACTCAGAACACTAATCAAACCCGCAGGACCTCCAGTCCTTCCCTAAGGCAGGATAACCTTTGACCCCAGCCAGAGAGAAGAAAAGACCCCATCAAGAGCCAGCTCACCGTATGTAGCTGCCGAAGTACGCCACTATGTTACTGTGCGTGCAGCTCTTGACCATCACAATCTCCTGCTGGATCACGGAGAAGTCATCCTCTGGAAAGACAAGCAGGACAACAATAATCGTCAGAATTATTCGGACTTTTTGCTTTGAGTAAGTCAGTGAATGTTAGACTGTCAAAGAAGAAATAAATTGTATGATTAAGAAATGAAATACCGTAGTGCAGTGTTGCACAACAGGATAAAAATACACCCTGATGTTTTTTTGAAACGGTAAAGGTAATGGTTTTGTATGAAAAAAGAAACCAGCTCGGAAACAGAGACCACAAAATACTCAAATATCCTGAACAGTGTGTGTCATGTTCCTACGTGTGTAGAGCACTTTTTTAGAAAGCTGCACAGCGTTAAGTCATTTTATGTCTATGAAAAATTGTAATCAAAAATACAAATAACCATAGGGCAACACCTGTACATTTTTCAGTATGCAGTGTGGTTTCTAAATACAGCATTAGATCAACAGGCACTTTCAGACTTTGTTGTCTCCCAGGAAAAGCTTTCTAAGTTAACGTGAACATCAGCTCTAACATGGAGAACAGAAAAACAAGTCGGTATACTGTAATACTGTATATACACTGGAAGGGTAGAAAAATGATCAATACTGAACTTCTAACAGAACTTACCACTTTGCCTTTATATGAATAGTTGTAAGGATTTTGGATAGTGATTAGAGGTTTTTGTTGGTGTTTTGATGAATCGTTCAGCGCTGGAGACTTGGTTGTGCGAGGGCTGAATCACCTCGTTAGTGAAAGCACAAGTGACAAGGGGATTTAACATGTTGATTGCCAAGTCTGACGAAAATGAAGCTAAAAAAAACACCTGGAAGAACCATCAAGTTCTGCTTAACAAGACAACAATGCCGTTGTACTATTGGTATTTTGCAGGCTGGACTAAGTCAGGTCGAGGTGGAGTTGTACTTTATGTTTTAGGTCTTAAGGTTTAGGGAGTGGAGAGTACCCTGATGGGCATTAGAGAGTATGGGCCCAGATGTCCAGGGCAGCGCGATGTGTTGACATGCACAGACCAGCCAATGGGGAGGTCCAGGTGTGACGCTCTGGGCAGGAGTGTCTAGTTTCTCCAGAGTGTTTGAGAGCAACTTGACCGCGTGGTGCTACATTGATTGGTACCTATTGAGGAGACTGAATTATTTATTTTCATTTTATAATCATTTATACTGAAATCACCATTCATGATTACAGGTATTAGTTTAACTTTTGAGTCTCAGATGATCAATGCTGATTACTTTATTATTACTAATATGATACTAATATATATGTAACTATGTTGTAGTATTAGAATCATATTTAATCATCCCAGCTTGTAGATCTGGTTAAAACTATCTGAAAAGCCATATATATTCATGTATACTGACACTGCTGAACCAGCCGCCTAGTACTCCACAGAATATCCTGGGAATATCTTTACTGGACTGTCAAAGCACTTAACACAACCCCGATGGAGATACAGCAACATCCCGATATTGGGCTAGTTCCCCGCATCATCCCAGTCATCCTGCCTGCTGCCATTCCAGAGGGCTCTCCCAGAGGTGACAACATTCTGGCAGCCCACCATCCCCAAGGCCTCTGGCAAGATCGGAAAGTGACCGTTGCGCTGGTGATGCACTGCCGATTAGACTCGATTCCTGTCGAGTATTTGTGGAATGAGCTGGCATGACGTGCAGCATCTAGGGCTCGGGGAGCAGTGAGCAGCCACATGCTTGTCTAGGCTGTAGAGCAGGAATGGGAAACACACCCACCCACCTGGCAGCATCTGCAGGCTGGTGAAAAGCATGTGACACAGATGTACATCTTGTGTTGAATCCCACAGAGGCCACAGACACTACTACCCTGTGAGCCGCACAGGAGATCCCCTGTTGATCAGCCTGAATGATGCCATAATGTTCGTATCTGCATAATGTTTCATAACATAATGTTTCATTAAGCATTTCTACAAAAAAAAGCTGTTTAATACAGTATGTGTTATTTGATTTTTTTTCAATGTATAGGGACTTCCTGATGATGACATGACAAATCTAAATCAGCATACTGAGTTTACCCATCTCTACCATACTGCGGTAAACATCCTCCACAGCTAACAGCAATGCCTCAGACTCAAGAGGCCATGATGTATCAGGGTCCAATGGAACAGGTATGGGGGTAACAGAATGCATTACGTTTTTCCTAACGTACACACACGTGCCGTGCGTCATGACACACATTATTGTACTAGATACTTCGTGGTGACAGTCAGGTTGGTGGTCAGAGCTTTGGAAACTATGACAGCCAATGCTCACCGCTAGGTCAGAAAGTCACCATTTGTCATCTGCAAAAAGAATGTTTTCTTTGACTGTTGTGTTGAATTACACAGCTCTTTGTCAGGTATAATAGTTGAGCTGCTGGGAGTGTCAGTGGACTTGATCAAGTTATTATATCACATAGTGAGGCTGCACCAAAAGAATTCTTACACGTTGTGGATAGTTTATGTTACATAAATGGTTGATATCTCATTAATTTTTCGGCCTAAAGAAGGCAACACTTTAGAACAGTGCCGAATAAACTACTGCAGCCTCTGCGCAACAGTGAATTTGTCCGATGTTTTGGGACCTTTGGTGCCGGAGTATTTTAAAACGGCAAGAAACGCGGACGCATTTTGTCATGGAAGTAAACCGCTTCAATTTTAACGTTTGTCATTTGAAGAAAGAAAGACGTTTCAGAAAAGGTGAAAACCTTTTTCAGAAACCCTTTTTTTTTTCAGAAAAGCTTTGCCAGTTTCTAAATGAATGGCGCTTGCTTTTGAGAAGAAGAGAAAACCGTCTTTTCACTGGGCACGCAGTGCCTGTGTAGGGGTAGGATATGCCGTTATCGGTGTGTTCTGCTCACTGTTGGAGGAGATTTGCAGAGTGCTTCACTCTTTCTCTGAGCAGTGGTGTGATGCTGTTTCTCTCCCTTTTCCCCAAAGCACTCACCCACCCTCCACACCTCTCTCTCTGTCCTCTGTCCTCCTCTCCTCCCCTGCCCAGTGCATGCACTCTTTCTCTCCCTTCATTTCTCCCCTCGCCTCTCCACCCTCCTCTCATTCTGCCTCTCTGCCCCGGCCCCCTCTCTCAGCCTCTCTGCTTGCAGCTCTGCATTGCTCTTGCTCTCTTTCTCTCAGGTGTCTGTGGTCTCTGCCTGGTCTCTCACAGGAAGCACGAAACGCACAGCTCAAAGGCTCCCTCCCTCGCTTTCTGTCACCATCTCACTCTCCCTCACTCCTTATGACTCACTCCCCTGTATCCTTCCTCTCTGACTGAATGGCGTCGAGGGGAGCAGTGAGAGGGAGGACCTGTTGGTAGTTAAACCCGGTTGTGAATCCCCCTTTTCTCTCTCTGAGGGTAGACACAAACTTCCTTTGCAGTTTTGTACGCCGGAAAAAAAAATAATTCCGAGTTACTTAATGCTCTGGTGTAAGAATGGAGTCCCACACACCCATTCTTTTTCATTCACCAATTAAAATCGGTTCGGGGGGTCACAATACACAGGTATATTATTTCATCGCTCATTTCCATGGCTGTGTTGCCTCTGAGTTGAGGGTGGGGCTTTTTGAGTTTTTACTCAACTTTCATAAAACATTTAAATTGGGCAAAGAAAACCATCTGAAAATCTGCCTGGGATTTTTTAAAGATTTAGAGTAATTATGGGAAAACATGCTTTGCAGGCAAAACTTCATGCATTTGCAGCAGATGGCAACCACGAAAAACAATAAGAGTTCCTTGGTGTGAGCAGTACTGAAAATATTTGTTTCTCTTCCTTTTTTGCTTTTTTGTCTGTTCTTCTGGTGAAGATTGCAATGCCTTGTAATGCTGAAACAGAATTGAATTCCCAGGCTAAAAGCATCAAGAGTTGTTGTTGACCCTGAACACCTGGTCTCAGACAGTCACAAACACATTGCCTTTCTTTTGAGGTTTATAAACTCCCACACAGCAGAGCTCGTTTGAGATCAAACCTAGTTTAGACTGAAGCCTGGTGAGTCGACAGGTTTTCATTCCAACACAGCTGTTAATGACCTCAATAAGTTCATTGCCATCTTAATTGGAACTATCTGACAAGTTCACCTGGCTCTTCAACTATTACCACTTTGAAGGACATAGTTGCCCTACAGGACTGGATCCAGACATCCCTGACTTACCTAATGGTATTTTTAAAGTTAATTGTCCAAAACAGAAAATGTTGGTTTTATCAAAAACAAAGTCCTGTGATCTCGCAGCTCCTATTTTGGTAAGGTCTTGTTTCTTGTGGATCACAGCATTAAATTCCGTATGTTGTTAGTCACATACTGCATGATGCTCACTATAGTGGGCCAGCAACCGTCTCATTCCTTTCTTTACATTGACCAAGAAGTACTGTGTAGCTAAGCCCCGAGACTGGAACAGTTTCCAAGGTCAACCTTCAACTCGGAGGCAGTGGCGTTGAGGAAGAGGCGGTATGCTCTTATATGTAGAGGTATATTAGTGAAGAGCTTATTGCATACTTTGCATTTATATTATTTATAAATTATAAAGATTTTGCACTTTTGAGATTTCTGTTATGAAAGATACTGCATCAAATAAAAGCCATCTCCTGGGTCTTACTGTGCTGCTGCCACAAGACATAATAATAGTTGTAAACAAGAAAAGGCTCTTTAGTCCACCCAGCCCATCTGGAAGTTGATAGTAGCTGATTGATCCAAGTATCTCGAGCAGCCAGTTCTTGAAATACACCAGGGCATCAGCTTCAGACAACATGGCTGGGTAGCTTGTTCCACACTCCCACTTATGTGGTAAATAAGTACATTTTAAATGCACTTCCAAATACTTCACCACTTATGTCCTCTGGTTGGTGTTCCACTGCTGATTGTGAAGTGTGCATGGCTTGGCACCTCAGTACCTGTCTGAACTATTATCACCCTACTCCCCACCTAGCAACCTTTGCTCTTCAAATTCTGCCCTCTTTATTGTCCCCCAAGCCTGTCTACATTGTATGGGTGACAGTGCCTTCTCCTGTTACACCCCCAAGCTCAGTAACTCTCTCCCCAAGGATATCAGAGAGTCACCTTCTCTAAACTCCTTCAAATCCAGACTCAAAACCCTCTTCTTTAGAAGAGCCTTTACTTCACTGGTTCCATTCTTCACCCCTCTGCTCTTCTTAGTACCACCATCCATGGTCTCCTCTGTATATTGTAATTGTGTCTTATCTTGTGTATTCTTTTTATTTATTGTTGTATTCTTCTTATTAATTGTTTTTGTCATCCTGTAAAGCGCTTTGAGAGGCCACCTTTAAAGGCTCTATATAAAATCTTTTTTTATTATTATTATAAGTCTGCTAGGTTGACTTTGTCATTGCCTTTTGAGATTTTGAATACCTCTATCAGGTTCCCTCGTTTTCTTCGCTGTTCAAAACTGGAAAGGTTCTGTCCCGAAAGTCGGTCAGTGTAACTGCTCTATTGCAGAGGCGGCTACAAAACTGCAATATAGAATTTCTGAATCCAGGTTGATAGGCATCACTTTTGGGCTCTTCATCTGTGATTAAATGACTTTGTAGTGAGGTTGGTTTCGCAGCGTCTGTGGGGACTTTCTGTGTGGTGAGTGGGGGGATATGTACTGTGATCTGAACACCTGGGGTCAGGGGAAGACGAGAGCTAACCCTTTCTGTCAGGTGAAAAACCTGAGGCAGTGTTTCAGTACTCATTCATCCTTCGTGCTGGGGGTGTTTTCTGGCAGCTAACAACAGTACAGTCCACAGGATGAGCAGGCCTCAGGTTGGTGCTGTCTGAGTGTCTGAAATGAATTGAGTTATGTTTATTTCCTGAGTAGATGTGCAGATTGTATAGCTTCTCCTCTTTTGGGAGGAAAAGGGAAGTTGCAGAAATGTTGATGTGAAGCTTCTGATCAACCCACCTAATCTTTTCACTCCAGGTAGGTTTCATAGGCTTTAGTTTTGAGCTGATAACAAGGACAATTTCTAAAGTTTTTGTGCTGTAGAATCTTCGGACATGCTTAAGGTGTAACCCTTTACAAGAGACAATTAAAATATACAGGAGAGTTTAAGTCAACATACATAAACCTTCAAAAGTTTGGGAACACTGCAAAGAGGCTGGGTTTTGAAGAATTCATGAATATCTTTGTGACCCTTTATAGATACCCATCTCCTCTTATCTCTTACACTGCAGACCCTGATGTCTCAGCATGACGACAGCATCCTTTGTACTAGAAAAACTGCAACTGTGGAGTGTGTTTGTGTCGCCTGCTTATTGCTGTTAATTATACCGTCATTACAGCTACCTTTTTCTACCAACTGTAAAGAGTTCAAAGTGCAAATTAAAGTTGTGGTTCAAATATGTACCCTAAAGATGATCAGGCAACACATACACAATCTCCAGTTGTACATTGTTCACATAAGGAAGTCAATCACATTTTAGAGAAAACATCCTCACCGGTATCTGCAAAAGCTGAACTTTTATAGAAGTGCCAGTTAATTGTTCACAGGTGGGAAGAAGAGATGATATTAATCCTGGACTCAGAGTGAAGAAACGCCTGGACAGCAAACTCATTTTCTCTTCCTCCAAGGTTGTGGTAAATTGTTTCACTTATGTGCTTTTAATAGGAGTTTGAAAAAAAGTGGAACAAATTTCACTCGCAGTTCTGCCATTGCCCCACCCTAATTTACCCCTCGGCTGTCACCAGGAGCTGCAGTTACCAGTTCTCCAAAGACATGCAACCCCTGGATGAAACTCGGCCACAGGAAATTTTCTCATAGCCGAACCATGCTCATACCATTCAGTACATCAACTTTGTAGGCATCATGCTTTACTACAGTATACACAGTATCTCTGGCTGTACTGAGCATTAATACAGGTGTGTTGATATAGAGTCTAGTTTACGGCAGCAGTGAGGAAAGGTAATTAGGGCTGAAGGCTGAGAGCTCTTAACTGAAAGGTTGTGGGTTCGAATACTAGCTAGAGCACTGTTGTGCTTTGAGCAAGCTACCTTACTCAGATTGCTACGTGAAAGTCTTTGCTGTATAAATAGGATGCAGTGCAAATGGCTCTGGATAAAACTGGTACCCATAAAAATAAAAAACACTTTCCGTGCCACCTCCCTTCAGCTTTCTGCTGAAAAGGCCAGAACTGCTGATCAGCCCGACTCACCTGGTTCCGTCTTGATGATTTTGATGGCTGCCAGCTCTCCGCTCTGCTTGTTTCGTGCCTGAAAGTGAAAGCAGAAGAACTCAATCAGATAATGACACACGCTTTAGTTTTGCGCTACGTGTGGATTCCCTAAATTCCCCTACACTAACGTTTGCAGACAAATGTTAGCTGATCAGCTTCGGAGTGATTACGGGGGATGCCAGAGTTTAGATGGGCCTGCGTCTGGTGCACAGTCCATTCGTCCTGTTGCTGGTGCCAGTGGACTGTCCGGTGCAAGTGTACGGTCAGCTCATGTTGGAGAACTTGCATCTGTGAGAGTAAAACCCAACTTTACCCACTGTGGGATGAGAATTTCACTGGACCCATGTCCATCCTAACCACAATTTGTATAATGGCTTCAAAACTATAGTTGGGAGGCTCATGAGTGACACAGTAAAGGAGCTTCTAGCGAGGACAGGTTGAGCCTTATTGTCGAGACTCCGTCATTAGTCATTAGTCATCCAGGTGGGGCTGCACATTGGTGGTGGTGGAGGGGAGTCCCCATTACCTGTAAAGCGCTTTGAGTGGAGTGTCCAGAAAAAGCGCTATATAAGTATAAGCAATTATTATTATTATTATTATTATTATTATTATTGTTATTATTATTATTATTAATCGACTGCAGTCAGGGGCTCATGACTGGCCAGCTGGCTCCAGGGCTGGGTGCTCCTTGGGCTTCCAGGTGTGTCATGCACAGCAGTCACTTGGCTTCCTTGTCCAGTGCCTGGGATTCTGCTTTGGTATGTGTGAGAGATGCGCTGTATGGAGGGTGCCGGCAGGATTGAGCAGCTTCATGTTAATTGTTAGTTGACTGGCATTAAAATGGCCATGGCAGGCCTAGTTCTCATTGGCTGGGCCATCAGCCAGTTAACTCCTCGGGTGGCAGCTTCTAGCTCAGAAAAGATGCTAAGCAGGCAGCCGAGCTCAACGTCGGTTTTTGAGTTTTTCAAAAAGCTGGAGTTTCTTCTTCCTTTTTGAGCTGAATGCGTTGCATTTTTTCTGTGTTAAACAAAGCACTATGTCTTGAAAAAATTCCTCCAACCTCTGGTCTTCTCTCAATGCCCATACAAGAGCTAGGATGTGACAAATGACATCCAGGTGGATGCTGCACATTGGTGGTGGTGGAGGGGAGTCCCCATTACTTGTAAAGCACTTTGAGTGGAGTGTCCAGAAAAGCACTATATAAGTGTAAGCAATTATTATTATTATTATTATTAATCATACTCTACTGAAATACAGCAAATTTCATCCCCTCTATGACAGGCTTGTAGAAATTAAGAGCACGTTCAGCAATAGACTGATTCATCCACGGTGCGACAGGGAGCGCTACAGGAGGTCATTCTTGCCTTCTGCCATAAGACTGTACAACGCATCCACCTTGCGTCTGGGCAGAGGCAACACTGACAGTGACCTGTTTCTGGACTGAACAGTAAACTGATACATCTGTTCTTTTTCTTTTCCCGCTTACAACCATTTTTTGTGCAATATATGCCAGGGACCCTTGTAATACATTTATATTTATATCTATATTTACATCTATATTTATATTCATATGTGCGATACGATTTTACTGCGTACTGTTCTGTTCTAGTTTGTTCTTTGTGTGTCCGGACTGTGAGTAACTCTTTTAGTGCACTTCTCACTGTACTGATTGTATTGTATGTATTGTATTATTATTATTGTATCATTCGTTACACTGTGGCTGAGTTGTCTGTGTTAAGCTGCTTTTGTACTGCAATTTCCCTCACGGGATCAATAAAGTATCTATCTATCAAACCCTTGGTTTAACAGACATTGGATTTTAGTGGACATAGTCTTTATCTTTATCTTTTGGAAATTTCCCCCCGGCCTTTACCAATCATGGCCTCCTAATAATCCCCATCTCTGAACTGGCTTCATCACTCTGTTCTCCTCCCACTGAGAGCTGGTGTGTGGGGAGAGTACTAAAAGGCCAAAAAGGGATGAATGTTAATGATGCCATATAGGGCTGGAGCAGTTTATAGAGGTATTGTCTGTGTTTTGTATGCTTTAGCAATTAAAACTAAAAAACTAAAAAAAACTAAAATGTTAATAATATGTTTAAAAAAACTCTAAATAGGTTAAAAACTCAGGAATATCAATAGTGCCCTATAGGGATAAGTCACTTGTTAAAGATGGGTGTTATTTGTGTTTTGTATGCTTTAGCCAATTTTGTACAGTATACTAAAGACAAATTAAGTTAAGAGCTTGAGTATATATATAATAATATATCATATAATAAACACATTTTCACTGTGTTGATTGCAATTGTGAGAAAATGAGTCAAAAGATCCAATAAGCATAAACAGTATGTACTGTATAGATGTTCTGGGGCCGATAAAATCTAATTTGAGATTGAATAGACATTTGGCCATAACAGACACCCCTTCTCCCCTGTTAGTCTGTTGAACTGAGTGTTTACTGTTATTTAAGGTGACCGCATAGTGTCACGGAAAGGAAACACTGTAAAATACAAATGGCACACTTGGCAATTATGATGCAGAGTCCGTGCAGAGCTGCTGTGCAGGTTTTCTGCAAGCTTCATTCATGTTTTGCTAAGGTGACCCCGCAAGGGTGGGCTGGCCGGGACCCCTCTACTCCCCCCTGATGGAACCTTTTCACTAATGGAACATTCTATGATGATGACATCACCACCATGTGCAGTGCTTTCCACCCACAGAGAAACTACACTGGTAAACAACACAGACGCAGGCCGGCCACTGGCCCCCACAAGAGCCTCTTATACAACACAGACACAGGCCAGACACTGGCCCCAACAGGAGTCTCTTATACAACACAGACACAGGCCAGACACTGGCCCCAACAGGAGTC